TAAACCCTACCTTCCTTTCTTCCAGAATTCCAGAAACCCTCACAGTTGCCCTCATTGACTTATCGTAAAGTCACCCTACATTCCCTAAGCCTAAAGCCTAAACCCCAAACCCCTAAACCCTATAGTCCCTAAAGCCCGTATTCCCTGAGCCGAGACTCGAAACCCGAAAAACCCTGTCATGAGACTCTCCGGAGACCCTGGAGCACCAGCAGCCTCGGCCAGCATCGTCAGAGCCGGCAATGCGGCCGAGGCGGCCTCATACGAGGGGTTAGTGTTAAAAGAAGGTTAGAGTGTTTAGAGTATGTTATCATGCAGTATGGTATGCTATGGTATACAGTAGCAGGTTAGTGTTAAAAGACGGTCAGAGTATGTTATAGCGCAGTATAGTATGTTATAGTATACAAGACTATATTGTACTACATGCAGTACCTTATGGTACAGCAGCTTGCTGTAGTATGATGGCATTTATGACCGCCGTTCCCATATAGTCGAGAAAACCCTGGTAGATGTTAGTAGGGCTGCTTGGGTTTTTTGAGCTTCTTGCAGTCCTATGCTTCTGCACGTTCGCATTTCCGAGTCTCGAAATTTGGTCTTGGGGTTTTGGGATTTTGGGACTTGGGGCTTTGGGGTGTCGAAGGTGGAGGAGCCAGGCTTCGGGGCTGACGTACTGCCACGCTTAGGGGCCCTTGGTGGGATGCTGACTGGGACTCGGTTTAGGATTTAAAGGGAACTCCAGAAAGTTGGAATATGGTTTCATGGTAGGATACCCTATAATTTACCATAAAGGGCTTAGGATAATAATATTCCAACTTTCTGGCTTCTACTGTAGGGCTACTATGTAAGATACTCAAGCATCGAGCAGCTGATAGAATCCGCTCCACGGAACCGAAAGCCACGATGATCTATACTGAACCTAGAACCCTAGCAAAATTATAATTTTAGCTGTTTCTTAGGGATTATAATAACCAAAAACTAAATATGTTCTCTAAGTACCCTAAGGATCCGGAAATTTCTCGCAGCCGTGGCGCCACGGCAGGGTTGAACTCCGATGTCTGGGCCTCTCGCAATGCTGGCAGAGGAAAGAAGCCGCCGGCTCAAATAGTTCAGGCACGAATACTGTTTAATAATTGGAACAGGGTTTTGGGGCCCATTATACGTACTATAATTATAATAAGGAACCTCCAAAATAGCATAGGTAGTTATTATGGCCCCTATATTAAACTCATTGCTTCAGGCTAAAGGCGCCACAGGGCCTAACGGAGGTCGTCTTCAGCAGAATCAAACCCTTCAGGTCAGATTTCCCTTCGTAGCTGTGACAGTCCACCTATGTGATGAGTCCTTGTGGCCCAATACTGATCAATACTGCATGCCACACTGCAGCCGGTAACCAGCAAGCTGCATGAACTTCGCGTGATACCTAGCCGTAAGCTTTAGAATACTTTAGAATCAGGTGGCTACCACCATCCTCTCAGCACTACTCTGCACTGCTACGACGGCTACGACCTTCTCGTCGTTCGTTTCCCAGTATACTACATATGGTATAGCATGATATAGTATTATATAGTGTTATATAGTATTATACAGCATTATAATACAGTTTAGTTTAGTCAGTAATAACATCATATATTATGCTACATCATATTATGACATTACGCTTCCTTGCCTTCGGCGCCTGCCCCGGGCTCGGCACGAAGCAGTAGCGCAGGCCTCACAGGGACTCGAAGATTGCATGCTCAGAAAGCCTTGGGAAAAACGGTGTTAAGGTGTCCGTAGTATGCTTTTCCTGTCTTGGTAGGGGGGGGCCGGGGCGCCGGGGGCGTTCAAAAGAGTCTAGGCTTAAGTTTAGGTCTCACCCATCCCTCAACCATGGAGCGGCTCCGAGATTCGACGAATGAAACCCCAGCCCTTTCCAAGACTATCATATATGCATGCATCCATCCTTGCGTGCACGCATGTATATATGGATATACATGCCACACATGCAGGTGTGAGGAAGCACATAACCTGTAGACCTCTAGAGTACGACGGACATGCATGCATGCACATGTATACCGCTTATATAATACATGTGTTTACATGTGTATGTACAGATGTGTGTGCATGTGCATGTGTATATACGTATATATGTATATATGAAGAGACATATGCATATAAACACTTGTGTATATACAGCTGAAGATGTACATATGTACGTGTGTATATATATATATATAATGTATATATGTACGTACATGTGTATAGATGTTCACGTGTATATATCACATATGCAAGTGTAGGGGTGTATGTATGCGTGTGTGTGTATATATATACATATATATATATATATATATATATATAGATATATATATATATATATATATATATATATATACAACCCCAAATCCTGCAAACCCTAAACCCAAAACCACACACCCTCAAAATGAGAAGTAAAAGCTCCGCAGCCATCTCAGCTTCCGGCTCAGGCACAAGGCCGCCCCAAGGGCCAGGAGGAGACGTCCTCGTCGACGAAGCAAGAGCTTTGGGGTTCTGGAGTCCGGGTTTTAGAGACTGTTGTTGTTTAATGTATTGGTATTTTTCACAAATTGTTATACTTGCTGTTGCTTTATGATTCAGGGCTCAAGGTTATCGGCTCTTTCGGGCTTATCAGTATTATATGATTTGATTATCGTGATCATTACTGTCTTTGTCTATGGTACTATTTTTGATACAGCTTTAGGATCCAGGGCTTTAGGGTGTTCGAGCTTTAAAGGCTTTACAACTAAAGGCCTTCAGGGCTTCAGGGCTCTGGACTTCGTGTGGTGTGACGAAGGGTTTTAGAGAAGCTCCCCCGTGTACTCTTAGTGCTTTTAAGCGCGCAGTTCCTGCGGTGCGGCATTCATTCGAACAGGAATATAATATGCGTGTCCAACTGCTTTGAGCATGTAGCATTTCGTGTGGCCCCCTTGTGGCCATATGCGTATAGGTGCTTTTGCGGTGCTGTTGTCTGCTTCGTCACATGAGGCATGACGACACCATAGAAAGTTTTGCGATTTGGTAGTGTGAGTGTGTGTGTGTGTGCGTGTCAATTTTGCGTCTGTAGACACAAATCAACCACACCACCAGCCACGTTCTTGTCTGCAGGTGGATATATGTTTTCAAGAAGAAAGAGAGCCAGATACCAAGGGAGGCCTACAAGTAGAAGCGCATTCCTTTTCGCAAAAGGCCTGGTCGGGCCATGTCTTCGATGAAGCTCGGATGGATGACCTGAGCATCGGCATCCCGAAAATAAACCGATATCCCATAATGGTTGAGGCTTTTCAAACCCTAAACCCCAGACCCTTTAGGGTGTGCGGTTCAAGGCGGCAGAAGCTCCTCTGACAGGATCTTGGCATTTGGCCCCTGATCCCTTTTGCCTTCGTGGCCCTAGTTCTTGGTCTAGAGTCTAGACCTAGGCGCTGAACTAAAGCGAAGACAGAACCGGTGAAAACCGAATATACAGACATGACATTTTGACACTCTTCTTCCTCGCCTCAGCGCCAGCCGAAGCGGTCAGAGTTTCCCCTCCTGTGAATCCCCTCTCCAAAAATGACTTCCCAATCGAGCGGCGGCCCCGTCTCCCGGTGCGTCCTTCTCCTCCCGTGTTCTGCCTCTGCGGGGGTGCCCGACCACGCCGAAACGCACGACGCGAAGCGTTTACAATCGAAAAAACAAACTGCCTCACAAAATCGGTAATTGTCCCAATGCCCGGCGCCATAAACTCTGAACTCTCAAAGCTCCGAAATCCGAACGGTGGAAACTGGCTCCAGGTGTCCGGCAACACTCCTCAGAGGGGCAAAGGACCGTGGGCCGTGCTCAATTGGAGCCCAAATGTGCGGTCGTCGAAGAGTTTGGTATGTCGGAGATCGTGGGTGGTTTATTCTGGCCTAGAACGGCTGTATATGAGTTTAACGGAGCGTTGGATGCCCAAAGCTTTCGAGCTCAATATGGTGAATAGGCTTCAGAAATCAGGAACAACTCATGGGATGCACATGGGTTTAGGGATGTTTCGGGTTGGTCCGGCTGTTGCGGTGGATTTGGAGTCTAGGGACATGGCTTTGGGGTTCAAGGACCTGCTCGACGTGGACTTTTAAAGCAGGGGTCCGAGTCGCGACTCCACAGTCTGGGACGGTTTGGCCCGAGGCATACTGCTCTCGGTTGAGAGGTGTTGGTCTGTTGTGATCGAGCCACGAACTCATGGCCCCCTACCACCACCACCACCACCACCACCACCACCACCACCACCACCACCACCACCACCACCACCACATTCACCAGCTCCGCCGCATCTACCATCTTCGACCACTACCCGTGTCATCGAAACCCCAAATGCACAGCACGCGGCCTTTTCAGCTGCCAACCTTGCTGAGACAGTTTCGCTCCAGTGCTGGCACAGCTTCGGGGAAGTGTTGAAAAGCAAAAGCCCGGCCAAGTCGGATTCAGGTTTATGACCCATCTAGGGGCCTTAAGAGTTCGAAAAGCAAAAGCCCGACCAACGCGGCTTCAAGTTTATGGGCTATCTAGGGGCCTGAAGAATTGGAAGATGCTGCTTCGTGGAAAGGATTGCTATAAGGATTTAATAGGGTGTTAGGGCCGCTTAGGGCCTGAAGAATTAAGATGGGGGTTGTGGGCTTTATGATACGGACGTCAGTAATCACTCAGGCTTCTGTATTATGAAGCTTTCTGGGTCTACAGGAATGGAAAGTCCACCGTGCCCGGGACAGATACTTCTCGACCATCCTCACATTAACACCCAAAGGCGGGCACGTCTTGTGCCCCATGGGCTCGGCATGTACGGCGCTAAACCTCTCGACCCTCTCAAGTGCGACATCCCAAGAACACGAGCAAGCCCTCAACTCCAAACCCCGAAAGCGCGGGATCATGTTCGAAGACACCGGAATTATGGACCCCAAACTCCAAACCTCCTCTCCAACCCGCTGCCACCGCCTGCACAGTGACCCGCTCTGCAAAGCAGCTCCGAAGCATCAGAAGGGTCTCAGGCTCACTGTCTGGAGCCCTTCGTAACCTTCTGCCTCCAAGATGCGAGCTGGGACATGTAGGGTTTAGGGCTGTTGTTTGGTCTAAGAGTTACGGGCTTGAGGGTTTAGAACTTGAGGTGGTGTGGGCAGAGAATTCAGAGCTGCATGCTAGAATACCCACCCAGCTCCTGCAACTTTGACACAGACACCTCAGCTCTATCATCTCATCTGTTGCATGAGTTCCGTATCTACAAGCAGCACTGCCCCCCCGTCCAGAAGTCCTTGAAACGGCGGATGATCTCATCGCGAACCTTCGGACCTGCCACAAAAACTGGTCACAGGTCCATGGAGGGGGTCTTTATAATAAAGATCCTACTATTCAGGGTACTATATCAGAACCCTATTTTCGGAAACTCCCAAAGCTCCGTCTCTTTGCGTTTTTTAAACTCGGGTCCGTCTCTTCTTGCGTGAGCTCTGCGCAGTCTTTCAGGGAGCTCTGGAGCAAATCACACGGTTTGGGCACAGATCCTACGGTTGAAGATATAAATCCTGCACGACCCATCATAAGGAATATACCATAATTCCCATAGTTTAGGGCCCTTAATGATTAAGGTAATGCAGCATATTATATCATCAACCGTAGCAAAAACCATGGCTCCATCATCCTGCAAACCCCGGCAAAAATATAACTGAACCCTAAACCCTGAACCCTCACAAAACCGTAGACCCTAAGCGCCTCATAAAACCCCAAACCCTAAACCCCTGTATAACCTTGAGCCCAGCATTATTAAAAAAAGGACCCCCGTGATAGTATGCGCAATTACTAAGGCCCCCATATTATGAGCCCGCGCCGAAACTTTACCGCCGGGCGAGCCCCAGGTCCAGAATTGGCCATCGCCGCAGCCGGCATTGCCACTGAGATGTTCGAGGCCCGAGTCCTGTTTCGGGCGGAGTTTAGGGTTTAGCGTGTAATTTCGGGTTTAAGGGTTTGTGCAGGGTTTAAGGTATAGTTTAGGGTTTAGAGTTTAGTTTAGGGTTTAAGGTTTTGGCAGGGTTCAAGGTTTAGTTTAGCGTTTAGGTCTTGGAGTTTAGGCTGACTTTCGAAGGGCTCGAAAGGGTTCAGGATTCAGCCGGGTATCTTAGGGTCTCTTTGCGCTTGTCAGGGCTTGATAGGATCGAGTCTCAGGGTTTCTTGGGATTTGGGGTGCTGGCTTATTTCTGCCTGGTAGTGTTTTGGTTGAGAATGGTTTGGTTTTCCGTGCATATTCTTGCATAACAATGCGAGGAATATCTGAGGCATCTGAGGGATAATATGAGCAATTTCAAACCGCGGCATGTTCATCGTGCAGCCTCGCTGTATTCCCCTGACAAGCGTTTGTCCCTGGTGTTTGCGCCTTTTCCGCGTCAAAGTCTTGAAATTGCAAGGCAAATGCGGGTCCGCCCGCCCCCAACCCCCGACGCAGTTTCTAACGTACCTCTAGACTCGAGCTCGAGCCTTTCGGGGCAGGGATATAACGAACACCAGAAATCCCAGTACTTGACCCCAAACCCCCTAAACCCTCGGAGCCCAAAGTCTAAACCCTGAACGCAAATCCCTGAACCCTGTTTTGCCTACAAAACCTGATAAAAGAACCCCTGTAGATCAGACCCTAAACCCTAAACAGATCCCTGTAAAAAAGACTCTCTCAAGGCCCGCTGCCTCTTGAACATCTTGAGGCTCGGGCATCGCGCAGCGTCAGCGCTTGCCGTGAGCCGTCCGCGAAGGTTCCGAGCCTTTGCCACCCTAAACCCTAAACCTTAAACCCTAAACCCTGAACCCTAAACCCTAAACCCTAAACCCTAAACCCTAAACCCTAAACCCTAAACCCTAAACCCCTAAACAATAAACCGGGGGGGATTAGGGGCCTTGGATTTTAGAACTCAGGGTTGAGGACGCAGGGGTCAGAAGGCTTTTGCGATCTGGGAGTTGTAGGAGTTGTAGGGCTTCATCAGGCTTCTACCCTGACACCCGACGCTTTCTTTGAGGTTCGGGGTATTTCGGAATTAGGGGCATACCCTGTATAATTACATGTACACATGCATACATGTATATATGTGTATATATGTATTTTACATTCATAATATCTTATCAATCGTATGCAAAAAACTCAATGCGCCCCAACCCGCTGGGCGCCCCGAGCAATCGCAAGTTGCACGGCCGATGCTTCTCCGGAACCTGGTCTTCTCTCCCGGAGTTTGGAGGCCCCTACAGGGCTCCTTGAAGGCTTCTATGCTTAAGGGCTCCTGCACAGGAACCCCAATTGTATCCCTACAGAAAATCCTAGCGGTACCCTTCAGGGGCTCCCTTAAGGAGCTCCTCCATAGGTTCTAGGGCGGCGGAATACCTAGAATAGGTTTTCTATAATATTAAGGTTCCTGAAGGTATTCCGCAAGAAGGCTTTGTGTAAGGCAATGTAAGGATTAAGGCCTACAGAGTTGCGCTGGGTTTGGGTGAACATTCAGATTTTGAGTATGCGAGCGAGCCCTCCGAAATGCTTTGACGAGTTGGGGTGTTAGGTCCCTTTGGTTTCGAGACCGACCTTTTTCAGATAATCTCCACGTCTGCATAGTCTGATGCTGTACTGCACCTGGCTGACCCGGGATACTGCGGGCTCAAAACCAAGTAGACTGGTTCAAGGATAATACAATGGCGCCCTGAGACTCAACCCAGAGTCTCGGTACAATTGGAATAGGGTTCAGAGATAAATAATTACGCTAGTCTGTAGCTAACCATTCCAGGAACCTTACAGCATGGTATTGGTGATCAGTGATTATTCATATCGCTACTCTAATTATTGCTATCACTAACAGTATCAATAATATTGTTATTACTATGCAACTCCTCAGAGCACTGGCCCAAGTGCACAGACCCCGCGCCTCCATGACGAGACGCTGCGCATGCGCCTTCCCATGCACCTGATGACACACTCTCGAGCAAAAAGATCTGCTGTGGCTATACTCGACCGCTCCCACGAAGTCTTCTTATGTTGCGTCATCGCTGCCATAGTCATGGTCATGATGGTAAATATTATTGGTAACCTTCATCTTCGTCAATAGCCACATCCCATCCGAATCCTTGGTCTTGGCAGTCTTAGCATCATCGCGGTGACCAACGCTGTCCTGGCCGTATTTTGGCCGCCATAACCATTGACGCATCATTCTTGCTCATCACCGCCATCATCATGACCATGACAATTCTAGCTAACTGTGTTCAGCATCAACGCTTGCAATGACTACAGCAGCAGTAGTGGTAGCATTGCGTCCTTCTCACCTTTTACCCCGACATCCCAACATGCGGACTGAACATCGGGAGGAAAAGCGTGCTCCATACACATATATATATACACATGAAATATGTGTGTGTATTATAAAGCCCTGGCAAGATTCACCTCGAAGGTGCGAAGAGGATCTCGAAGCGTCAGGGCGAAAACGTCATCGTCCCTTGGGCCCGGACGCGCGTGTAAAGGGTTGGGGATTTAAGGAGAAAGTCGTCGTAGTAGTAGTTGTAGCAGCAGCAGTAGCAGTTGGAGCAGTAGTAGTACTAGTAGTACTAGTAGTAGTAGTAGTAGTAGTAGTAGTAGTAGTAGTAGTAGTAATAATAGTAGTAGCAGGAGCAGTAGTAGTAGTAGCAGTAGCAGTAGCAGTAGCAGTAGCAGTGGCAGTGGCAGTGGCAGTGGCAGTGGCAGTGGCAGTGGCAGTGGCAGTGGCAGTGGCAGTGGCAGTGGCAGTGGCAGTGGCAGTAGCAGTAGCAGTAGCAGTAGCAGTAGCAGCAGCAGTAGCAGTAGCAGTAGGAGCAGTAGGAGCAGTAGCAGTAGGAGCAGTAGCAGTAGGAGCAGTAGCAGTAGGAGCAGTAGCAGTAGCAGTAGCAGTAGCAGTAGCAGTAGCAGTAGCAGTAGCAGTAGTAGTAGTAGTAGTAGTAGTAGTAGTAGTAGTAGTAGTAGTAGTAGTAGTAGTCAGTAGTAGTAGTAGTAGTACAGTAGTAGTAGCAGCAGTAGCAGTAGCAGTAGCAGTAGCAGTAGCAGTAGCAGTAGCAGTAGCAGTAGCAGTAGCAGTAGCAGTAGCAGTAGTAGTAGTTGTAGTAGTAGCAGCAGTAGCAGTAGCAGTAGCAGTAGCAGTAGCAGTAGCAGTAGCAGTAGCAGTAGCAGTAGCAGTAGCAGTAGTAGTAGTAGCAGCAGTAGCAGCAGCAGCAGCAGTAGCAGTAGCAGTAGCAGTAGCAGTAGCAGTAGCAGTAGTAGTAGTAGCAGCAGCAGCAGCAGCAGCAGTAGCAGTAGTAGTAGTAGTAGTAGTAGTAGCAGTAGCAGTAGCAGTAACAGTAGCAGTAGTATAGTAGTGGCAGCGGCAGCGGCAGTGGTAGCGGTGGTCATAATAGTAGTAGTAGTCGTGGTGGTAGTAATAGTAGTAGTAGTCGTCGTAGTAGTAGTAGTATCATTAATAGCAATCAAAGCGGGAGTATTTGCGATGATGCATGACGATACAGTACTGCACCACCTCCATCGAGACTCTTACCACAGCTGCCGATGCTACAGGCTTAGCTAATGGGTAGTAACTAGACTCACTAGACCCCCAGATCAGACAGACTGCGAACAGAAACTCTGAAAGCTGCAAGCAGAGTACCAGCAAGCGTAGCGGTGAAGCTCGAAAGAAGCATTCCAGGCAAAGGCGAAAAGCACCCAAACCCGAAAAAGCGCAAGTGACAAGCACCGGGCGTCCAAAAAACATCTGAGCGAGTCGCAGGACACCCACTGAGACTGCCATGAAGTAGGCCTGCTTAGGGCTTCCCAGGTCGGCATCTAGGGTGTTGAGCACTATCAAAAAAAAGACAGAATACTCCTGCCGAGGATCTTGATGACCCAAAAAATGGGCTTGTTGGACTCTGTGTATCTTCATCGTGCCAATAACATCAGACAGATGGATTACAGGGGAACTATGCTACAAGTTCATGCAGGAGGAAAGCAAAGTCAACCTCTGCAAATGCCCAAAACCTAGACAGCAAATAACCGCATCAGCCTGCAGTTTCCTCCAGTCCTTCGTCGTCCTTGTCGGAAGATCACAACGAGCCCGACTCGAAACGGAAATCTCCAACCGTCGACCCAGCCTTGTCCCCACTCCGTTGCAGCAAGCCCCGCCCACCTACATCCCCAAGCCACAAACCCCGAAGCCAAAAGCCTAAAACCTCAAGTCCCCTAGTTTGACCCTTCCTTGCCGGCAGTGCAAGGCCTGCCAAGCTTCGAAGGAGACAACAGCTTCGGGGTCAATGGCCTGGCAAGGCGGCGAAGCAGAGGAAATTAGGGTTTGGGGTTTAAGGCTTCTTGTTTGAAGGGTTCAGGGTTTAGGGTTAAGGCTTCTTTTAGGGTTTAGGGTTGGGGCTTTTTATCGGGTTTAGGGTGTAGGGTATGCCTACAACGCAATGCCTTGATACTTAGAGTAGGAATTCGTTCAAGGCCCTTAAAGGGCTCTGTAGGGGGTTTGGCCAAGGGGCTGTGAAACATCAGCCATGGTAGTCCTGTAAGATGTCACGACGCCGGCAGCATTTCTGCCCTATGCTTTGGCGGCACGAAGCTCAATTTCAAAATGGTTGTCTCTTAGGCTTCAAGAACACCGCTATCAAAGTAACAGGTAACAAGTATCAACTGCAAGTCCTTGCTTCGGCCCATGCCCAAAACCCTGAGCCGCCGCACATGAATCCTGGGAGCGCCTAACCCTCAACCCTCACCGGGAAGCAGCCTGTTTTTCAGTGCGTGTTGTCAAGCGAAGCCTTCTCCATGTTGAACCACCGGATAATTTTTCGGCCCCTCCATCATTATGAAACCCTACTATGGAACCCTTAGAGAAACCTTTAAAGAACACTTAAAGGAAGCCCGAAAAGTAGCATAGGTGGGTGGTTGTCAAAATTATGATTCCTTTCTGGGTAGCCTAAATATTAGGTGCCGTATTATAATAAGGACCCAAAAAGGGACCCTAATTTTGACAACCACCCAGGTGATTATCAAAACCCCGCGAAGTCAAAGAACCGCGGCCTCACCGCGCGACAGGAGCTCCCTCTTCGCATCTTCGAAGTCCCGGGCGCGGATGCCGGCCCTGTGGTGTAAGGGCTTCGGGGGTTTAGGGGTTTAGGGGGTTCAGGGAGTTTAGGGTTTACGGATTTAAGGGCTTCGGGGGGTTAGGGTTTACGGGTTTAGGGATGCAAGGGTCTTCGGTTTAGGCTTCCGAAGGACCTAGAGGGTTTCGGGTTTCGGGCTTTTCGGGTTTAGGGTTTTCAGGTCTGGGGTTTAGGAGTTTGGGGGCTTAGGGCGTTGTAAGAGTTCACAAGCTTAAGGTGTTGTCGAGGGAGCACATGTACATCGTATAGCGGAGGTAGATGGGTAGGAAGCAGTGGCCTTAGGGGTGGGTAGTTGTGTTTGCACGGGGTTGCGGCTGAGGGTGTGGAGCTCGGGAATCTCAGCTTCCCATTAGGTCTTCGGGGTTTGGAGCCTGAGGCCTCGGGCTCAGGGCTTTCAGGCGGTGCCGGGCATGAGGTTTCGGGTCGAAGATTGAACTTAGCATAGGAGCCAGAGCATCCGGAGCAAGGTCTTGTCTTGGGGACCACAAGGCCCTCAGCCCTAAGCTGGGTCCTGAGGAGCCCAATTTAAATTACCATGGCAAGGAAACCATTTCGTTCCTTAGATCCCCTAGACCCGAGACCCTAAACCGATCCCCAATTATGGTAAGTACCTGATATTACATAAGGAACCCAGTAAGAAACCATCTTCGGACGTGAGCTCGGGGATTCGGGGTTTGGGTTTAGAGGGCTTGGGGTTTAGGGGCTTGGGTTTAGCGTTTAGGGTTTAGGAGTTTGAAATCGCAAGATGATGGTAGCAAGAGGTAGCAAGCTCAACGGGCAATGGCACTCATCATAAGTCCATGTCACTGCTAGTGCAATGCTGATAATTGTGATGGCAAACGGACGTGAGAGCAACACTAGCCATCACAAAAAATCATACCGGCTGCGACAAACTCAGAAGTTCTATGGTAGACAAGGACTACTAAGCATATCAAGCAAGCGGCCTTCCATCTCATCTTGTGTGAACAGTTTCGTGATGCGTCTTACGCTCTCTGAGGGGCTCAGCTCGTATAGATTGTCTTTGCATCCAAAACTTAGAACCAAACCCTGAGCCCCTAAACCTGAAATAAAACCTCAGAGCTGCAAAACCTGCAACACCCTGAAGCACTAAACTCACTAAACCCTATAGCCCTAATTAGACCAAAACCCCCAATACCCTAAGGCCACGAAACCCTAAACACCTAAACCCAGCGCCACTAAACCCCTAAACCCACTCTGAACCACTAAACCCTATCAGCCGTACAGGCCCCAACATTGGCCTCCCAGCTGGCGCAACCACTGGCCCGCCCCCTGGTAGTCCGATCGGCGCCGGCCGGCGCCGCCTTACATCGAGGAAAATAACGCAAACGCTCAGGGCTTCGGCTTTGGGATTTTGGTTTGAGGGCTTTGCTTGGAGGCTTAAGGTTGAAGGCTTCATTGTTCAAGGTGTAAGAGTTTAGGGTGTTTGGATTTTGTAGATTTCCTTAAACCCTAAACCCTAATTTGTAGGTTTTAAGTCGAGTTCAGGACCCCATTTCCATCCGTAGCTCTTGACTTTCGGCTTTAGGGCCCTTAGAGGGGCCTCGATTTTGGATGTTGGGATTCGAAAGCTTTGTTGGATTTCAAGTGCTGTTTTTAGGGTGTAAGGGCTTAAAGTTCAGGGTTTAGGGTTAGTTTAAAGTTCAGGGGCTCAGGGTAGCTTCGGATTACAAGCTCTCTAACTCTCGCGTTTAGGAGTCCGGTCGGGTTGAGACCATGCTTCGTCTTCTCGGGAACGGCACATTAATATAGAGGCCTTGTCAATCACTTGCTGGTTGAGCACATGAAGATACACTACTCCTCTGCAAACATATGTCACAGAGGCGGGGCCTTAATGACTAGAAGAGGGTTTGGGTGCAACTACAATCACGAACTCGGACTTCCACATTAGACCACGAATACCCCTCCTACATCCCTCAAGCCCCTAAACATGACCGCTCGCAACCCGCACCTATAGGGACCTTAATCGCTGGAATAGGGCTTTGGGGTATACTGTAGTATTCCCCTAAACCCTAAACCCCTGGACCCTAAACCTAAAGTAAAGAAAAACCAAAAAACCCTCCACTGAGGACCCTGGCGCGGCAGCTTCCTCCAGGTCGAACTCGGCAGCCCTGTTGCGTGTTTTTGAGGATTTCGAGTGTAGCTGGGACGCGGGGGCAGGGGGGGGGGGGCGACTTTTGATTTATTTAGAGCTTGGGGTTTAAAGTTCAGTTTCAGACTCTTTGGGGCAGAAAGGGTTTTGGGACGTTAAGCTTCATCATGATTTGGGGCTTCCAGGGTCTCGCCCACGAAATCGAAGCATGGCGCAGTGCTTGCGAGGCTGTTGTTTACTCGCGGGGGTGAGACAAATGAATACCCTGCGTCTGAGTCGAGACACTGACCCTAAACCGCGAAGTCTTGACCCCAAATTCAACCAAAAACGGCGAAGCGTAAACCAGACGGGGCCAAACGGAGTTCAAAACCTCTTCGGCCCCACTTGCAAGCACAACAGGTTCGCAAAGCTGCACAATCCAGCTGTGATTCAACAAGACACCAGCAACTCGCGATACAAGGTCCAGGACCCTAAACTCAAGACCCTAAGCCCACAACGTATCGATGGCCTGTCTGCCGCACGGCACTGGACCACCTTGGCTTGAAGTGCCGATCACGACTAAGTCGTGCTGCAGAAATCAAGCGCAGCCGACAGCCGACAACTGGGACGGAGGGCGTTTCTTAAGCTGACAAACGGTTTGCTGGAAGCCAGTTGCATTGTATCAGCTGTCTTGCATTGCTCTGCACGGCAGTGGGTGACATCCGAGAAGGAAGCTATACAATTCCGAAGAAGCTTTTAAACACTTTAACCCCTGAACCCTAAACCCTGAACTGGAAATCTCAAAAACACAATATGGCGGCAGGTGAAGCTCACGAGTTTCGAGACCCATGTAGGTTGCCGGTGTAGTGCGGCAGGGGGGAAGAGATTACGCGAAGTCGCGCAAGGCCTGAAGCCCTAGACCTGGAATCTGAAGCACATACCTGCGGTATGTGACAAGAGGTTCGACCTCCTGCTGCATGACTGCATGACGTTCTGGTGTCCAAGCTGTGTATACGGCAGCATTCTCAAAATGTCGGCTACATTACCAAGGTATATATAATATAGGGCTTAGAGTTGAAGGTCTTAGGGTTTAGGGGTTCTGCGTTGAGGGTCTGCAGCTAACACACCCCCGATTCTGATCTAGTTGCTGACCTCCATGGCCAAAAACAACTCTTGACTATGGCAATGGCAAGGTTGCATTTGTCTGCAATACTCAAAGCTAAGCAGTGAGCTACTTGTAACATGGTAAGGCCCCAAATCCGAAACTCCCAGAACCGAAAAAATGAGATGCAATAAAGAACTAAACCGAACTTCCCAAATCACACCAAGACGCCGAACAGCGGAACTGCAAAACCCGAAGCCTGTTCAAGCGCTGTATCCATAGACCGTCATAAACCCCTGAGACCCTTGCAGAACCCGGTGTTGAGACCACACGCAGAAACCCTCCCAGAACCACGAAAACGATCTACCCCCGCATTCCTGAGAAGGACCACCGTTAAAGCGCTCTAAGGCCTTGAGCCTTTTGCTCGAAAGCCCAGCTCAAGAACCCTAAAAGCCACAGTAGGTTTAGGGCTTCCGGGTTGAGTCGAATAAATCAAAGAAGGGAAGCCGCAAATTGCCAGACCACCCGATTACTCGTTCTCGATAACTTCGAACACCTGTAGCAACAAATCTTTTAAACCAAAAACACAACGTGCTTTTATACATATATATATATATATATATATTTATCTGTATATATGTATATATGCAAAAGCAAAACACCCAGCTTCTAGAGGGGACCTGGGGTCAGCACGCCCAAGCCCTCGAGCAGTTTCTGTCGCGCCCCCTGGCTGCAGGTTTGGGTTTCAGGGGTTAGGGTGTAGCGCTGAAGGCTTGAAGGGTGTTTTTTAAGCACCTTTTTCCGCCTGCCTATCTGTCTAGAGGCTTGAAGGGTTTAAGGCTATAGGGTTTAGGTTACGGTTTACAGGGTTAAAGGTTTAGGGTTGAAGGCTTCGGGTTTAAGGTTTTGGGGTTTGGCTGCTCTTAAGGTGCAGGAAATAGGTTGTAATTCTACCAGAAAGCCGGTGCTACAAGGGCTGCCAGATTTTCTAGGTGCTTACAAGGCCCTCATACGGGCTTACAGACATGTTGGATATGTTAATGATCAGAACGGAAATTTAGGTGACATGATTTCGCTAACTACTCCGACCTCGAAGGTGTAAGTGCTTAAGGTTTTAGGTTTAAAGCGTAAGGACACCTGACTAAGGAATTTATGATGAGGTAAGTTGACATCACAAGAAAGCGGCAAACCGACAACCCGAGACTCTTGGAAAGCCATTAGGTCCGCTAACACAACTATAAACCCTGCGAAATTGTTGTGAAAACCCCCCTACCCCACAAGCCTCATGTGTCCGTTCTCTCCCCTATATAAAACCCCATCGGTTACCCTAAACCCTAAACCCTGAGACCTCTTTACAAGGAACCCTGTAAAACAAACCTAATAGCACCCTTCTCTCTATAAACCATGCCCGACCTCGACGTCCTCGCGCCCGAAGCGGACGTCCGGCAGACGCCTCACATCGAAGTGACGAAGGAGTTGCCAAACCTGCCATCTTTGGGCTTCGGGTTTGAGGAGTCTTGTTTGAGGTTTTTTTTTATTCGGGTCAAAGGTTTAGGGCTTTGGGTGTTTTTAAGGTTAGGGGTTAGGGTTTAAGGTCGTAGTTTAAGCTTCAGGGTGTAGAGTTCAGGGTTTAATAAGCTTTCGCGAGGTCTTTGGGCTCTGCTGCTTCTTGGTTGGTTTAGAGAAAGCTTTCGCAAGAGGAGCGCTTAGGGCATGATACTTGTTTGGTCGCGGGGCATGCCGGGGCGTTGGGTGTAAGGTTCGGGGCGTAAGGTTTAGGGTTTACAGGCACCGACAACTCCTGGCACGTGTTGACCTCATCATCAACGGCAGCATCCGAGAAAGCCACCGTAGCACACAAGCCAACGGGACAACTATGCTGGGATGAAAGTCTTTCTTTGGGTTCGAAACATCTCGCCGGGAGCACCGGCACTTTTCCCAGACCCTCCGGATCAAGCTTCGACCACACCTCAAGCACCTGGATGCACATGGCGTCTCGGGGGAGGTTGGGCTTTTCGAGTTTAGCGCTGCGGGGTCGATGGATTTAGAGCTTCTGATTCAAGGTTTAAGAGGCTTAGAGTTGAGGGTTTAGGGTTTTGAGGTTTAGGGTTCAAGGGTTTACGGGTGTAAAGGGCTCAGGATTTAGAGGTTTAGGGTTTAAATGCATTGACGGCTTCATGGCAAAAACGCTTCTACACTGCAATCGAACCCTCAACTTCCAAGCCTTCACGGCGATTCTTCGCTGAGAACACTGTCTGCTGCTTCTTGGTGGCCCAAATTTTCCTGTTGAACGTAGAGGCCTTAATAATTCGAGCGAGTTAGATGATAGTATGATTATATCTGCACTATAAGGGGCGTTTACTGCTAAATCGTTCCGACTTCTACACAGCGGCTGAACGGAAGGCTTTGCGCCATGCTCCAACCTACCAGCTCCCAACACTTGCATCCGAAGCTCTTGCGATGACGGCTCAAGACAATATGCTCATGAATATATCGATATGTACATATATATGTATACATATATATATATATATATATATATATATATATATATCTGTGTATAGCCACCAGTCGACATCATTCCTTGATTATTCAGACCGCTGTAGTAGCTCTGAGTTGCTCTCCCACAAAAATCCAGCACCCTCAGATCATGAAACCTAGGCCGTTACCAACCCCAAACCGATGAGAAGCAAATAATGTATAAATCCCTCGAATCCTAAAAACAACCCTAAAAAGTAAACCCTCAAGACCCAAACCCTGAAACACGAAACGCTAGAATCCTGAGCCCTCAACTCTTTTGCTCTGAACCGAATGTCGGCTGGGATGCCCCGCAACCTGCTGGCGCTTGGCATCCAAGTTTCCCAGCCTCTCAGTTACTAGGGTTTTGGGGTTACCGGTAGGTTTGAAGACGTTGGGTTTATGGTGTCGGGTTTGGGCTGGGATCCTTGAGGGGCTTCAGCAACAAAACCCTTGCAACAAGGGCATCAGAGAGCGGTGAGTTCCGCAAAAGCATCATTAAGCTCTTGAAAGCCACATGTCCCGACCCAAGGGCCTCCAGATAGTCTTCAAGAATGGGGTACTAGGCTACATAATGGATGGTCAGCAACCTGCTTTTGAGGTACCTGGAGCTCTAAGGTAATGTTTCAACACGTTGTGCTTATCTGCGTTTCGGGTTCCTAATGACTCGCAAGCATCACAGAAAGCCTCAGACTCAGTCAACTGACATCCTAAAACCCTGAACCTTAAGGTCCACAAACCCTAAGCCCTAAACTCCTGAACCTTCTCATGTGCTGTCAGACGCACCCCTTTCTCCTAAGGCGGCAGCACCAAGGCGGCCAAGTCGTTCACAGGCACCTAGGAGGCAGGCACGAGGGGTTTGGGTTTCGGTGTTTTTGGGCTTATGGTTTAGAGCTCAGGGTTGAAAAGGAAGCGGTGGCACCGTACATGAAACTGTCTGCGGCAGCTCTCATCAGACGAGCGGACAGGCTAGCAGAGCTTCGTGTGCCTTGTGTACCTTCCTGATAGCTGAAGCATGTGACGAAGCTTGATAGAAACAGAGTACCTGAACGTCGGAATAGATTTTACAGACGACAACAAGGAGAGCAGAGGCGAGACGAGGACAGCAATACTCGCATCGCAGAACTCGAAACGAAAGCCATGTGCGGCAATGAGACAAGCAACAACAAGACCACCCCGAAACTCTATAAACCCTAATCCCTAAACCGTGATTGCGTGCCGCCGAGGCGCACCTTCGACCGCCGAAAACCCTAAACTCGAAGCCCGAAAGCTCCAAAATCCAAACATCCTAAACCCTGAACCAATGACCACCCAAAGCCCGAAACCTAAACTCAACACCCTGAACCCTCAATAATAATAATAATAATAATAATAATAATACTAATACGAATAACAACAACAATAGCAGTATTAATAATCACAGTAAAGTAACAATAGTAGAAATTACAATAGTAACAGTAGTAATAATAACAATAGTAATTATACTATTCCCGGCGACCCTAAAGCCGCGGGACAGCGCTCCGGCCCTGGGCGAAGTGGCCGAAGAGTAGCTGACACTCGTGAAAGCCGCGGCAGAGCCCCTGCGGCGTGCGGGGCTCAGAATTCCACTGCTAGTTTCTATAACGCTGATAAGCAGCATGCCTGTAATGTCACGATGTCAGCCGTAACTACAAAGATAGGGATAATCCCCATAGGACATGTCGTAGTGATAATAGGTTAAGGCATGTTACGGGTGTAGGGCAACAAGGCTGCCGGGGCTTTGGGCCTCAGCATTTCAGGCTTTCGCCTGGCAGCGTTCCTCTAACTTGCAACCCATTTTTTACTTGTCACGTATGGGAATCGGCTGATTCTCCAAGTTCCGCTTCTAAAAGTCTGCCTGAAAAAGGCCTACATTTTGCTTGAGTAGTGTGTCGCTGCGCTGCGTTCGATGTTCTGCCACATCAATCCTTTTACTGTACAGAGGGGAACTAGGGGCTTAGGCTTAGGATCCATGCTGACATCTACGGCTACGCCTGCATTGGCTGCAAGCGGAGCAAGCAGATGCATGCCCCAGCCTCGCGCAGAGAGACGTCGCGGAAGGTGTCGTGGCTCAAGACCTCCTCCCCAGACCTCACGAAGGGCCAAAACGAAGCAAGCTTAGCCAGCGGTAGCGAAGTGCGAAACTTGCACTGATGGTTCCTCCTCCTTCTCCCCCCCTCCATATCGTTATCTTCCTCATCAGCATCGAAGCTTCGGGCAAAACAGCGTCGCTCGTTTTTCCTCCGGCGTCAGATCCAAGTGGTGCGTGCAGAAGCGGCGGAGCTGCTCCGGGGAGTGCGTCACCATGACCTGCAGAGTGCCGGCGCTTACCACGACAAGTGTAGATGGTACTTCGTTTCAAGAGTCCATGGTCGGGAGGCTACACATCTTCGTGAGAGCAGACTGAAGAGACACATGCTTGCAACCCCGACAAGCTCTTAGAAACGCTTCTGGAACATTTCTGACTTGCCCTAAAAACCTTCAAAGCCCAAAGCACGAAAACCCTACACACCCTGAGCCGTCAAGCCTCAGACCATGTATCAAACCCGAGCGAATGTCAAACCGAAAAAAGACTAAACACTCCGCTTCTGGCGTTGATTGACTGCCCTTTTCCAGTTGAGGTTTTAGTTTGGACGCTTTGGCCGGTAAACCTATACCTCAAAACCCGAACAGAAGGCCCGACAACCTTGAACCAAGACAAATGCGAAAAGCAAAACGACGAAACTAAACTCTCGGTCCTAACTCCCGTAGATAGACCCGGAATCCTAAACTTGGAATCTTCGTCAAGCTGCAATGGGAACCCGGCTCGCCGCTAAGGATGCCTGCTTCGGGTGGTTGGCTTGATGGGTCTCTGCAAATTCTGTTTGACATATGGGAGTTTCCGAACATTAGGGGTACCTTATTTTGGGGTCCTTATTAATAAGGATCCTACTATGTAGGGTACTAGATTAGGGTCCCCTATTTTCGGAAACTCCTATATGTAGACACCAGTCCGATTCTGCATGTCTCTCAAGTTCGCTCACCGGTCTCCCCGTTGCTTTGGGGTTTGGATTTAGGGCTGCGAACAGCCCTGGACTTCTACTTTTTCCGGGCCTCCAGCCCAAAGCAAGGCGAACCCCCCCCCGACTCCGTGTTCAAAATGAAAACAGCTATTGATGAAATACTACAAGGTTGAATCTTAACAGTCCTAAGTAGGGTCTACTAACCTTTGAGGCAAAAGCCCCAACCAAACCCCAATAACACCGATAGAATCCTCATACAACCATAACCACTTTTACATCCTAATTCGTCCTGTAATTTAGCCTAATCACTCAGAAGGTCCGAATCCTTGGTAAAGGAAAAAGGCCCAACCCCAAACCCATAAACCCTGAACCCTAAACCCTAAACCCTAAACCCCAAACCCTAAACCCTAAACCCCAAACCCACAAACCCTGAACCCTACACCCCCCAAACCCTAAACCCCAAACCCATAAACCCTGAACAAGAAGGCCTCCACCAGCTTCTGCGTGGCTACGTCGAGGCCGGAGATGGCCTCGTCCAGGAGCAGCACCTTGCATTTAGATCTGTTTCAGCCATGATCTAATATACTCATTGGTTAGTAATAGTACAGTAATAATGGGCAATGATGTAGCAATAATAGTAATCATTAGATCTAGTTCAGCCATATTCTATAAGATGTTCATAATATAGTAATAGTATAGTAGTAGTGATTCTATTTCTGCCATATTCTATAAGATACTCATAATAATATAGCAATAGTATAGTAATAACGAGCAATGATGTAGCAATAAACATGAATGATGGCAATAATAGTAATCAGTATTCATCATAATAATACGTATTATATAAACTATTTAGGAGGGTCCAGGGCTAAGGTTTTCTTCTTTGAACTCCTTTTCTCCCAGTTGCAGCAGGTCCGCTACGCCCAGAGCTAAGGGTTTTAAGGTCTAGGGTCTTAGAGCAGCGTGAAGGGCGTCAGGTTCAAGGTTCCAGGTTTCGGGTTCCGGTTTTAAGGCGTAGCTGTTTGGTTGGAGGAATCCGTGATTACGGGATCTTGGAGTCTCCAGGACTGCGGCGCTTGACTACGGGTGGTCTGATCAGCTTTGCAGCGAGACCACCGCAAGCAACCGTTAGCAGTCGTCGTCGTCCTGCTCGGCGTCGTCCGCGGCCGTCTACGTGCCAGGAGAAGAGGATTAATTCATGCACCGTAAAAGCCCCGGAAGCAAAAACACTAAACCCTAAACCCTTCACAACTCCGAACTACTACTCTGTGCCCCTTGTCGCCTGAGGCTGCGTTGCCAAAGCTAGGGCGAGAGCGACGCGCTGTGCCTGGCACTGGAGCACTTCAATGCCTTGTTTACTAGGATTCAAAGGCTTAGGATCGGGGGGGTGGGGGGGGGGTGAGGTCTTCGGCTAGGTTGTACTGCAACTTTTGGGTGGCTTAGCATGCAAGGTTCGTTTTAGGCCCGAGGGCCATGACATGTTTGTGGCTGTCAGGTTAGCCCGTCTTGCTGGAACCTTTGTAATTATCCTATTTCTTGAATGGGACAGCTACAGCTTCAACATATCGTACCCCCAAACCCCAAATCCTAACCGAACATAGAACCCTTACCCCTAACCCCAAACCCCCAGCCATGGCTCGGGAAAGAGCCCTGGGAAGAGCCCTTTTCCAAACGAAATCCATGGACAAACGCAAACAAGAAGAGGCTACAGCACAGCTCAGAGAAAGCAAGACACAATTCAAAAACCTTAGAAGAACACACCGTAACACAAAGAAGAGCTATAGAGAAAGTACAATCACGGAATTAAGGGTGCAGCTGTAGTAGAAAACACAATAACTCAATTTATAGCATTTCAGAGCTTTAGAGGAGAAAGCAATAAGACCTCTCCCAAAAGACTCTCGAACCTCCTCTCCAAAAGCCCCAAGGCCCGTGCCTCACCGCCGGAAAGCTCTGCCCAGGGCCTGTCAAAAGCGCCTGTGCGGTTGGATGCGCTAAACCCTAAACCCGGGTTCAGGGTTCAGGGTTTAGGGTTTAAGGTTTAGGGTTTAGGGTTTAGGGTTCAGGGTTTAGGGTTTAGGGTTCAGGGTTTAGGGTTTAGGGTTCAGGGTTTAGGGTTTAGGGTTTAGGGAAGAGCTTGGGGATTTGTGGGTTGGAGGATTAAGTTTAAAGGTTTGGGGTTTGGCGCCTTTGGTGACTTTGAGGATTAAGGTTTGGGATTGATGTAGTATGATTCTCACTAGCACTCTGCTTGTGCTACAACTGCTTTGTGAGGAGTAAGAGCAGGCAGTACCCGTCGTCGCCGATGGCGGGGCTGGTGGTTGCAATATGGGTGTCAGTAGCAACTGTCGGCGTCAGAGGAGGAGCCTTGTACGCACATGCACAGTGACTGTTTTGACGCGCGGTTCTCTTGCGCATTTAGAGACTCAGTAGAAACCCTAAACCCTACACCCAGTAGTGACCCCAAGTAGTTCTCTGTCGGAGGACAAACCTCCATAAAGATTCGCGGGACTGTCGGCGTGGGCTTTCTGAGAATGTTGCCAAACACCCACTCAACCCTAAACCGTACACCCTAACCCGAAACCCTCAACGACTAAACCCCAAGCCCTAAGCCCTACCCTAAACCCTCCGAAAGCCCAAACCCCAAACCCTGAACCTCATCGAGCCTGGGAACCCGAAACCCCCGAACCCAACACCCTCACAACCCCACGGCCCACACCTAGGGCACAAAGTGGCTCAAGCGTCGTGTGTCCTATACGGTCCTTGTGGCCAAGAGCCTGAAAAAACCCTGCAAGGCCCTTCTGGAACCGTGATAAACCCCCAAACAGTCCCCTGAGCTGTAGCCAAGCTCTACGTAAAGCAAATAACCTGAAACCCTAAACCCCCCCCCTCCAAAAAAAAAAAACTATTTTTTTTCAAAAACTAAACACCAAAAAAAACTTAAATACAAAAATTGTCCTTCTAGCTCCGAGGCACTGGGATCGAGACGCCACGTCGCGGCATAGGCACGCCTCGGGCTCAAAAAGTAGGGTCCTGGTTTATAGAGTTTAGGGCCACAGGTGCAAAAGGCTACAGGTTTTTGCGTAGGGTTCTTCTTCTGAAGGGGCACTTTGCAAAGTTCAGGGTTCAGGGCTTGGGGTGCAAGATTGAAGTTGAGTTGCTTTAGGGCTTGAGGTGTAGGACTGAGGGTAGGGTCCAGCGGTTTAGGGACTCAAGGGTTCTGCGGGTGTTTAGGGACTCGGGGGTTCTGGCTTGAGGGTGTTCAGGAAAGCGGCCACACCAACCTCTTCTAATCTCTTCCAGGAGAAAGCAATGTCAAGCAAGCTGGAAGAGCGTGAGAGCGTAGAGCGCCTGAACATGCCAGAACCTACGGTAAACCTGGTACACAAGCTCAAATTGGTCGAAACCTCAAAAAAAGAGCTTCTATGGCCCTTGTAGCAACCATAAACCACCCTGGAGGGGCCCTGTGGCCTTCTCAGGGGTGGGAAGTGCGAAAGCACTTGTGCCAAAGCAAATGCTCTTGGTCTCGAACGTGGCTGGTGCTCATCACACAGGTGCCGCCGCACGGCGAATCTGTCTCCATTTGTTCTTGCTCTCAACAACTTCAACGGTCTTCCTCGAAAATCAGTGGCCAGTGCGGCATAGAGCTCAAAGCTCCGTCTTTCACAGTTGCGTCGTCGCTCCCAAAGGCAAAGAAGCCGGTTGCAGAACTACAGTTTTCGAAGTCCTTGCTCATGAAGTTCTTGCAGTCTCCGTTCTTGCCCTACATGTTTTCTCCACGAAATTCCATCTGTTTCGGGTGGACTCCAGCTGAGGAGAGACGGACACGCGAAGGAGCAAGTTGAAAACAAACAGAAAGATCAAGGCAGTACCCGCATCCGACAGTTCTAGAAATCTTAGACTTCCTAAACCCCAAACCCCTAAACCCTGAACCCCTAAACCCTAATGTCCCTAACCCTAAAAGGAGACTGTTATCATTCCCAACATATCGTGCGTCTGGTTGAAGCCCCGAAATCGAAGCTGAACAGGCAAAGGTGCGCGTCTGAGAGAGGCAAGTCGGCCGATTCCTGACTCCGGTAGCTGCAGAGCTCCTGTATCTTGGGCCGGGAGGCCACGTGGCGTGGGGTTAAGGGGAGGGTTTAGGGGCTGAGGGTGTGCAGTGGAGAGGTTTGGGGTTTAAGGGCTTTTGGGGTGAAGGGTTTGTGTTTGTAGGGTGTGGATTTGGGTTTAGGGCCTATAAACGGGTTGATAGCCGGGGATATGTGCACGTAAACAGGAGCAATAGCCGACAGGCCACACGATGGATGGGCTGAGAAGGCGTGGGGAAGTCAGTTAGCGGGGAAGCAAGTAAGGAGAGTACGCACGATGGTTGGAAAACTAGCCAGCGCACGGTTGCTATCTGGTACCTGCCGATGCCCGCTCAGCCATCATGCATGCCGGTCCATGTGCCAGTCCCTCAACAGATCGTGACAACTGTCGCGCAGGCGCTCACAGTTGTGGTCGTACACCTTCCAAACATCTTGTCAGGAAATAGAAACTGTACGTTCACCCAGGGGTCCTTGAAGAAGCTCGCTGGAGTGCCAGGCAGGGCCGGCCGATCCTGCAAACTAGGCGGAACGAACAAGCTTGTACAGCTCGAGGGTTCAACTGTAACTAAAGGTCTTGCGTTGCCGGGTTCAGGCAGCATTCAGGGTTTAGCACGCTTCTCCAAAATCGGCCATGTCGCGCAACCCACACATTCATTTGGCTCCAAGCACTTCGTTCAAATCGCCAAATACCTGCTACAACCACTTCTCATCCCTTCGAAGCCTTTGTAATGCCATGAACGCCTAGAGTATTGCACACTCCCCAGAACCTCAGCCTTTCTTCTGCTTTCAAGAAAGAGCCCCTTGCATCCCCAATACGTCCTGGGGCAGCCAGCACACACGTTGCCGCCATTCCTTGTAGTGTCGAAACGGGGAACCCATGATTCCCACTTCCCGCATCTAACCAAAACCTCACCAACGAGTCCCAAACACAAGCAAAAAAACACTCGAACTGGCGAGAGAACAAACAAGAAAGACGAAGTCGCTCACGAATTTAAAATTCGCCACAGAACCAAAACAAAAGAAACAACCACACCCCTTCCTTGCAAGCTTATAGTACCCTCACAGGAACCTGCTGTATCCCTTATAGAACCATTACAGAAGCCCTATAGAACCCTGTTGACGTTCGGGCTCATCATGAGCGTTGGGGTTCTGCATGCCTTCAGCTGCCATGGTTGTAGTCGTCAACGAAGTGTTCAGGATCAATTCACAGAACAGGGAGAAACCATGGGCTCACAACTGATTATTTTTCGCACGCTAAAACACTGTCGGAGATAACCGTCCTCAGGACTGGATGTTGTGCCTGCTCAAGCTAGGCTCATACGACTAGTGTTCGCTTGGCTTCTGCCGATCATGGCGGAGCTCAGCTCTGCCTGAGCCATCAAGGCTTTAGCGGACGTGTTGGCCTTCAGAGACTTCAACACTCCTCCTCAGCTGCATCATCCAATTTTGGATGGAAAGCTGTTAATCCCTTCCGTCCCGCAAAGCCTGAAGGCAATACCGACAAATCATCCTATCCTGTACTGATGTCGTATTCCTTAGCGCGTGGCAGGATCGGAAGAGATGCAACGCTCCTGGGGATCTACTTGTAGTGGTCATCACGTGGAGCTCACACAACTCATTGAAGGTGAAACCTTGATCAAAAGTAGTTTGCGTAGACGCATCCTTAGCAGTCTTGACCTGACTCTCTAAACCACTATTCGGGACAGAGGATCGAGTCTCTAAGACGGCCGGAAAGGGTGCAGGTGGCGGTTCAACCGCCGAAAATCCAGATAGTCCAGAAAATCCATGAGTTGGATCAATCGGGATGGATACCGAGCTGCTAGAGGGCAGCGGTGGCGGAGGTGGAGGTAAGTCCAGGACTGATAGCTGAGGCCGCGTCTCAACTTGCACTCTAACGTAGGGGGCGTCTGGTCGTGGCGCCTGGTAGGCCTCGACCTCCTGAGCTGCCACATTCCTTTGCCTTAACCCCTCTTCTTGCAGCTCACGAGCTATAACCCTACGGACCTGCTCCTGCCTACGCTCCCTTCGGGTTGTAGCTTCCGGCTCACCTACATCAGGGTCTGCGTGAACCATTCTTATTGCCGCTGGCTCACGTTGCCGACAGCATGAGCTCACACAGTACCTGCCTGACTCCCAAAGGAACAGTATTGACATAACCAGCAGCACTACCAAAAGCGAAAGCTCTAAACCCAAAGGCTCAGACTCAAGATCCTCATTCGGGGCGGCTTTACTGACATCAGCCTGCAGCAACAACAGCACGGCGACCAACCATAACCCTACCCTGTTATCACCCAAAGGCTCCCTTTGTACTCGACTCTGAGGAGAGGCTTGGCTCGGGATTTCCTCAGAGGGCTCCAGGCTTCCTTGTAGGACTGACACATCTGTCTCAACCCTGGATACCTGCGAAACCGACGGCTTAGGGCTGGGAGGTCCTAAACCCAAGAGCTTACATAGGTCATCAAGGCGGGTCTTCATTAGGGCCTTGGTCAAGCAGTCGGCTAACTGAACATCTCCCGGGCAATGCGAGACGTCAATTTCCTTCCGGTCAATCATGTCTCGTATAAAGGCTGACCGAACCCGCAAATGCCGCGTTCGCTGGCTGCCTTCACCGCCTGCCAATGTCACCGCAGCAGTATTGTCAATCATCAAATGCTTGCAACACGGGCCCTCTTCAAGTTCAGAAATCAAAGCTTCTAATGACTGTGCTAGCACAACTCCTTCGCAACCAGACACCAGCTCTGATTCAGCAGTGCTTAATGTCACAATGCTCTGCCGCTTCGACTTCCAAACCACACAGCATTCGTCATACATAAGTGCTATTCCGCTGATTGAGTGGCTCCCATGCGGCGCGAAAGACGCGTCTGTGAAGATCCTAAGTCCTTCTGCCTTCCCCGGAACTAACACGAGTCTATGGGACTTGGTGTTTGCCAGGTACTCGAGGGTTCTTAGTCCTATCTTCAAGACCTGCTTAGGAAACCGGGCCACCCAGCTTGCCATCAGGCCCACGCAATAGCTGATATCCACTCTGGACCTCTGAGCCACCCAGAGCAGTTCTCCCGTGATTCGTTGTGAAGCTCGCAGCTCCGCCTCTGAAAACTCCTCCTGCTGGGGAAGCTCACGCACCCACTCCTTGGGCACCGGTGACGTCGCACGAGGGTTGGGCTTCACATCATGGTTTCGCAAGAGCTCCGCAATGTAGGACTCCTGAGCCAGACTGTACCCCACAAGGTCACCATCATCATTCTCCTCTGCGTAGATATCCACACCAAGAAACCGCAGTGGATCTGAAACAGTCGCCTCCTTCAGTCCAGTGCATTCCCAGGATTGCCTTAGCCAATCAATGAATGACCGTGCGACCTCTGGCTCCGTCAAAAGTAGCATGTCGTCCACATACACCAGCAAGTGTCCGATGCAAAGACCATTCTCGTGTCTCATTCGCCAAACATTGCTTTCAGAAGAAAATTGTTCCAGCGTAACCTTCCCTAGCGGGGTGTCCCACTCCGCCCTTGTAAGGAAGTCATCTCTAAACAGAGACCACCAGCGCGGACTTTCTCTGAATCCGTACAATGCCTTGTCTATGATCCACAACTCGTCTTCCCGTGCCAGGCCAAGCTCAATCAACAGACGTGGCGGGCGCATCGCATAGCGCTTCGTGACCCCATCTGGGATCGAAGCAAGGAGGAAAGCAGATTTCACATCAAGCCCATACGCCCTACGACCACGCCTCGCCGAGTGAGCAAGTAGTGCTCGAAGGGACTCTGCCCCAGCACCACCAGCATAGAGCTGGGACTCGGCTGTTGTCTTTGCATAGTTTCCACACGACACGATGCGGAATTTCCTTTTGTAAGGCTCTCCAGGTTTTACCGTACAGACCGGTTTTCCCGGAATGATCTCGTAGTCTGAACTTCTCAATATAGCTCGGGCCTCGCCACCGTAAAACTTGCGTATGACACCCATAGCCTCAAACGTGCTCAGCTCAGCCTGAGCTGCTGGTCGCCACTTCGCCAAGTTTTGACGAACTTCAGCTGGAGCAACGTTATGCGTCACCTCCAGTGGGCCTTCCAGCCTGGACAGAAGATCCTCAACATTTGGTGTAAAACCTCCCTCGTCAACTCGCTGGATCATTGGGTCAGTCTGCTTTGCACCGGGTCTTACACTCAGGCTCCCTAGTGGGTCTATGGTAGGAACTCCTATGGATGCTCTGGGACCCTGGGTTTCCCGGCGGCTTGGTTCTAGACTCTCAGCCAACGACTTGGGGTCACTGTACTTATCGTCACTAAGGAGAGTGCCAGGACGAACCACCATGCATCTATAATCCTGAGACGACTGTGGTGAGGATGAATCCGTCGGATCTGCACTAGTCTCCTCCGGGATATCATCACTGCCTACGGCTGGGACACTGGACTGAACTTCAGATGGGGAAAGAACATCAGGCTGAGAACTTGAAGCAGCACCCGTGCTGGGTATCCACTCCTCATCTCCCCACATCTCTTGC